TCTGGGAGATTTGAGAGTGATCCGCCATTCCTAAACAGAAAAGGGTTTGGGGGCGATAAAGATTAAATTTTTGGTGAATAAAATGGTTGGCGGGCATCACAATATTCGTTTGCCGCTGCAAAATTTTCATTACTATTATATTTCCATCATCCGAACCGACGATGCACAACAGAAAATTGAGGGTCTTGTTCTTCGATCAACAATTAGTACATCATCCTGAACTTTGGCCTGGTAAGTGAATTCGAATGTTGTGATTTTTAACTAGTGTTTATTATAGATTTTTAATACATGCTCTTTATATATGATTTTGGATTTTTATTTAATATCTGGAATGTAAATAATAAACCTTACTGGTTTTCAATACCTGTATTATCTATGTTAGAGGTGATCGAGCAATTGGACTAGGTGTCATTATGTTTAAAATTTGAATTTTTTTAGGAGATAACATGGAATTTTTGTTTTCGCCTTGGTAAATTCTGAGTTGTTTAAGAGATTTTTACATATAGGAGTTCAATTTTTTATGATTTTGAAGTGGTCTCCTGGATTTTATTATTGCTTAAATGCTTGATTTGTGTTGCCGTAAAAACATAGTGTCCAACATGATGATTTCCTCTGCTTTCTCTTTTGCTTTCGATATTCTTGTTGCAATTTCAAGTGATCTCTTTGCAGCTCGTCCATCGGTGTCTTTATTTGAAATGGTGCAAATAACTTTATGTGATTAATTTATAGTTATGACATCAATTTCAATATGAATGCTAATACTACGAATTTATTTTATTTTGTAGATTGAGGAAATGGCTCCTGGGGTTAAGCATAACAAGAATACGAGATTCAATGCAAAGTCGAATCAAGTTCCCCCAGGATTTTTGTCCAAGCAGGTTTATTCAGATCCAGCAAAGGGAATCAAAGGAGTACTACCAAAACCCAGTACTTCATCTAAAGGCAAAACAAATGAGAAGTCACCCGCTCCAAATGAATCAGATGAAGAAAATCAAGTTGCTGAAACTGACTCTATTCCCCATAACAATGTCACACCATCTACTCAAGAGACAGTTGTTCCAACTACACAGGACACACTCGTTCCATCTACTCAAGAGACAGTTGTTCCACATACACAGGAAACACTCGTTCCAGCTACTCAAGATTCTATTAATTCAAACTCCGATAGTCTTCCCAACCAGTCAAATGAGAGCGATCAAAATTCAACACCTGATATAACTGATCCCCTAGGTAAACATTTCCACCATTTTGACAATATGCATTTGCAGGAATAATATTATGATAAATACAATTTGTTAGACAGTCAATGGTTCTTCTAAGTTTTTTGTTTTTAAATGTTTGAGTAGAACAGTGGGAATGTAGGATAATCCTTAATGGTTGTGTATGAGTATAAGTGTTATAAATGTGTTTGCTTGTCTATTTTTGAAGATGTTGAGATAGTTTTAATTTGTCAATCATAACTTCAAGTTCTTGACATGAAAAATGACATAATGATCGTGATACAAATGTCTAATTTAGTATACATTATTGAGCATTTGGCTGAAATTGATATTTTTGTTTTCATTGTGGGTTGGATATATGTGATGCTGTCGTTCTTGTACAGGTTCAGGTTCATCTTCAAAGAAAAGAAGTCGTGGTCAGATCATGTGGAAAGGGATATTGAAGAAATTTGCTTCTACGGGACATAAAATAAAAATTAATGTGGATCCTTTCGTAGGAAGACCGGTAAATGGTGAGCAGTCCGCAAAACTTTGAACTCAAATAGGCATAGTGACACGAGAAGTACTTCCAGTTCCCAAAAAGTGGAAAGACATTGATAAGGAAAAGGATTTGACACCAAGCTTTGATCATATGCAGGTTTGTAATTCTATAAATTCTTATAAAAATTAATCAAGTTTGATCACAATTTAACCCCATTTTTTTTTATTTAAATGCATCTAGATGTTAATATTGATGTCCCTGGAGTGAAACAATGCTTGATTGAAAGGATGAAAAGTAGTAGCCTTCAGAAAAGGTACAAGTTGCATATGCATTACAAGAAGTTTGCTTCCACTCAAGAGGCTAAGGCAAACAAACCAGCCTTTTGTCCGAGTCAGGAAACTTGGGAACAGTTGTGTGACCATTTTGCGAGTGCACATTATAAGGTAATATGACCTTTATCAATTAAAATAAAGGAAGAAATAATTTGGTATATCATCATATGAGTTATTTCATTGTTGCAGCGCATAAGTTATGTGAATGGGGGAAATAGGAAAATGTTGCGAGCCCCACATATCTCTGGAAGAAAACCATTTACAGTTCGGCGAAATGAGATTGTAAGTTATCTGACACTTTCTTTTCAAATTACATAATGTATAATCATATAATATATCAAACAAGTCTATAAATTTTATTTGTAAAATAACAAGTGTTCAAATTTCATGGAAACACTGTTATCAGTCTGAGAAAGAGTTAAATGGAGATCCATGTGATTGCATTGAGTTGTATAAACTCACGCATTTTTCAGAAAAGAAAGGGTGGTCATCCACTGAAGCTGAGCAGAATTGGGTAATTAAATACCTGTGCTATTCTTAAAAGTCTTATATTTGCATAGTTTTCATTAATATATATTTTATTTTACATGTTTTAATAGGATTCTATGAAAAAAACACAAGAAAAGTATGAAGGGGAAGGCACCTTAAAGAGCTCAGAAGAAATTGTCTTCGAGGTCCTTGGGCATGGAACAAGATATGCTAAAGGAATTGGGTATGGTCCAAAACCGCCAAGTAAACGCATCAGAGCCTTTGACGTAGCTTCACAGCAAGTTCACAAGGATCTTCTTCAGACACAGCAAAAGCTACAAGAGTCCGAGACTGAAGTGAGCAGTCTAAAGACAAAAGTGTCTGACTACGTAGATGAGGTGAATGATTTACGAAGCCAAATTGGCCAGCAGGGTGAAAATCTCAACAAGATGATGCAGCTTATGATGACTCATGGAATAACTATGAATTCACAAACGTAAGTATACTGAAACCATATCTTTATATTTTGTATATCTAAATGGAAAATTTGTTGAATGAAGTCATAATTATACATTCTTGAATTATCATGAAATATGTTGAAAGTTTGATGAACTATATATGCTGACATTGTATCAAATTTGATGAAGTATTCTTGAATTCATAATTGAAGAAATTTGAAAATCGATGAAGTGTGTTGAAAGTGATGATTGAAAATACTGTGTAATGATCCTTGAAGTATGATGTGTAATAGGATGCATGTATGATGTATTCTTTTATAAATTCTTGAATCTTGATGCATGCTGTGGTGAATAATTCTTGAAGTATGTTGTGTTGAATCATGAAGATTGATATAGGCATTTGTTGAATCTTTAAATATTTTACTAAATCATGAAGTGTGCTATTATACAGGATGTGTGGATTAGTTTATATAATATTAAAGTATGTTGTGTAAGTGTTAACATACTCTGAAATTATGTTGTGCTTGAAATCATATTAATGAGTTATCCATTTTTTTTAGTTGAGGTGTGTTTATTAGGCTTCAATTTTTTTTTTTCTTTTGCAGGTGAAACTTTAACAGTTCTCAAGGGCTTGTTTATTGAAGTCCGTGGAGGTTTAGAGAATAAAGACTGTTTAGCATTGATATTTTTTAGGTTATTTATAATATTTTATTGAAATTAATGGTATTTAGCATTGGTATTTTACTTTTATGCAATAAACTTTGTAAAACTCTCTACTTTTTGCAATTAATTTGCATAATGAATATTGCATTATTTCAATTTGGGTGTCATCTTGTGGAAAGTTGTAGTGACGATGATTTCGTAATATATATGTTCGTCATTAATAATATTCCGTTTATGATTATGAAATTCGTAACTACTTGTATCTCTAACTTGACAAAAAATGTCGTCACAAACAAATACTTTAAAATGACGATAATTAAGTCGTCTGTAATGTGGTCAATAGTAAGACGAATAATTTTGTCATAATATAACGGACTTTAATGACTAAACATAAATCGTCTCCAATAAAAAACATTTACTATGACGAAATGCTTTGTCGCATTTGCTATTCAATTAATTACAAATTAGATTCGTCGCTAAATGTTAATGCATTGGTGATGAAGTGTAAATGTGTCATTTATAAGTATAGTATTAAATGACGAAATCCGTAATCCTGTAGTCACGAATTAATCGTGGTTTTTAAAAATTTGAAATGGTGACGACGAGTAAAACGTCATTAAAATATCGTTTAATCATGACGACGCGTATAATAATATTACGACAATATTCGTCAGGATAAGTAACATAATAGGGTGAGAAAGTAATAATCGTCGTGTAATCATACACAAATAATGACAAAACAAATCATCATGTTATGTATTTTAATAAGATGACGAATGTTATTCGTCGGAGAAGGTACAAAATCAGTGACGAATGCAATCTATTGAGACGAATAAAATACACATTCAATGACGCCAATATTCGTCATGTTATGTATTTTATGAAGATGACGAAACTCATTCGTCGTGGAAGGGTACACAATTAGTGACGAAACAACAAGCTAATGCGACGAATAAAATAAACATACGTTGACGACAATATGCGTCATGTTAGGTATTTCCGTAAAGTGACGAACACAGCTTCGTCTCTAAAAGGTGCACAATTTGTGACGAAATACAATATAACCCCACGATTTTGGTGACACATATAACGACGATTTAGTCATCACGATACATACTTTTCTATGGTGACGCATGACGTTATTGTCACCGAAAATATAACCAAATAGTGACGACATTGGAGCGTCATTTTTATGAAATACCACGCACTTAAAGTGACGCTTGTGTGACGCCAGAAAATCGTCACCAAATACCAAAAGTGACGAAAAAATACACTTTGGTGACGATTTTTGTCGTCACTTTTTCGCAGATTTCTTGTAGTGAGGTGCGCGCCTCGCCCGCGTCACGGCGTGAAGACCTCGCGAAGGGCCTTCAGAGACACCTGCTCGTGCTCCGCGGCATGAAGACCCCCCGCGCCGCACCCAGAGCCTCTCCCACGGCGTGAAGACCCTCCGCGGCGCAACGAAGACCTGCTCCATGCCGTGAAGGTCCTCCGCGCCGCGCCCAACACCTGCTCCACGCCGCGCCTTCGCTCCACGCCGTGGCACTGGACCCTCCACTCGCATTTTTCCATAAATTCTTCCACTTTTCTCCATGTTTTCTTCTATGTCTCCTCCATGTTTTGAGCCATGAACATTTTACCTTGATTCCTTGAATTTGTTGGCTTGAAAGGTGGAGAAAAATGGGGAGAATTTGGCTATAAAAAGGTGACAAGGTTTGAAGAGAAAAACACACCTCCAACCGAGGGGTTCTCCCCTCTTCTCCTTCCTCTCCTTCTTTCTTCTTCTTTCTTTCTTCTTCTTCATTTTTAGTTCCTTTTCTTGGTTTTATTTATGAGTGTAATATTTGGAGAATACAATGACTCAATTTGGCTTGTAAGTTGATTTCAATTCTCGACTTGGATTAATAGTAATTTTTCTTCATTTGATTATGAACATGAAAGCCTGTGTTAAATCTTTTGTTGTGATTGATTTCATCATGAGTAGCTGAATTCATTAGCTAGGGTTAGAGGATAATTGGTCCGGTTTGTTTTCATTTACATACTTGTCAATTACTCAAATCTTTAAAAGTTGTGCTTTTTCCTAGATTAAATGCCTAATCATCATGTTAATCTACTTAATCGATTTTGAAACCAAGAGGATATAAGTCGGTTGAACCTGGCTTGTTAGGAATAGGATCTCAAATCATTACAAATTAGATTCAATGCCTAATCACCATGTTACTCTACTTAATTGATTTGAATCCGAAAAGAGATTAGTCGTTTGAACTTGACTTGTTAAGACTAGGATAAGTTCGAAAAGAATTGCCTCTCACCATTTTTACCTTCCTCAAGTCGCCTTCCCCCAGGACGACAGCAAACATAGTTTCTCCTAGGGGAGCGACTTCCGAGCCATTGAATCCGAAGAGTGATGTGTGTAGGGGTGTAAGTTCAATGTCAAGCTCCATTCTCCTGAGGCATTCATAGAAAATCACGTTCACGGAACTCCCGGTGTCGACAAACACCCTTTGCACCTCGTATCCCGATATCTGTGCTGTTATCATCAAGGCGTCGTTATGCGGCCTTTCGACTTCACCCACATCTGCCGGTCCAAAGTTCATTACCGGTCCACTCTCGTCGACCTGCTGCACCTCGACTTTCGCATATCGGCCTCGAGCATAGGCCTTTCTTGCCCGATTAGAATCTCCATCAGTCGACCCTCCGAAAATCATGTTAATGACCCCTCTTTTTGGTGGGAATTCCTCTTTGTCTGGTGATCTCGCCCTCTTGCGAGGACTCTTGCTCCTTTCTCGTCTCCTGCTCGACCTCTCCTGATCTTTGTATATGAACTCCTTCAGGTGGCCTGCCTTTATCAACCTTTCAATCTCGTCCTTCAAGTGTCGACAATCGTCAGTGTTGTGCCCGTAATCTTTGTGGAATCGACAGTACAAGTTGCTTTTGGGCTTTATGGGTCCGTCCTTCCTCGTCCGCGGCCATCTCACCACGTCGTCGCGGATTTCTCTCTCCATAACTTCCAGAATTCTTGTGTGGGGAGCCGACAGGGGTGTATATTGAGTTGGTCTCCATCCCCTAGATCTGCCTTCACCCCTATCAGCCATCGGGGATCCCCTCCTATCTCCTGTCGATTGGCCCTTCTTTTCCTTCTTGTCGTCTCGACTGTTGGTTTGAGACATCTTCACACTTTGCAAGTAGTCGGCTTCGGCCTCCTCGACATTCATGTATTTGGCACACCTCCCCAATACGTCGTCGAAACTCCTACCAGGCCGCTTGGCCAAAGAGTTTTTACAAAACCCCGGTAGTAATCCCCTCGTCAGTCCTCCCGATTTGATTTCCTCTGTCGCTGTTCGGCATTCGACGCACGCCTTGGTAAATCTTGCCACATACTCCCGCAAGGACTCGCCGTTCTTCTGCTGCATGCTAATCAACGAGAGGTAAGACTTCTCTTGCACCCTCACACTTGCGAATTGGTTAAGGAAGCTCGAGCTGAAACCGTCAAAATCCCTAATCGACCCGACCGGTAATTGATGAAACCAGTCCTGGGCCGACCCTGTTAGAGTTGTCAAGAAAGCGCGACATTTCACGGGGTCGCTGTAGCGATGCAGTACTGTCATATTTTCGAAACTCCTCAGATGTCGAGATGGGTCTGTGGTACCGTCATACCATATGTTCAATTCCCTGAAGCCTTTGGGTAAGTCGGCTCTCAGGATTTGCTGCGAGAAGGGGTGTTCTTTTGCTCCTCTGCTCTTCCTTCCATCGACTCGAGCTTGCAAGTCGCGAACTTGTGCCAGTAGTTGCTCTAACGTCTCGTCCCTCGCCTGGGGATTAACAGTTCGAATGGAGGATTCCTCTTCATCTACCCTTCTGTTCTGTTGTACATTCGATTGGGCTTGTTGCTCACCACGCGGCTGCTGCTCGACTCGAGGGGGGTACTCGACACGGGGTTGGTGTTCGACTCGGGGTGGGCCCTCGACTCGAGGATGCTGTTCGACCTGCGCTATCTGCTTCATCTGGGCAGCCACGGCTTCAGCAATCATCTTTTGCATTTCACTCCTCGTCATTGTTAAAGTCTATTCCTCGACGCGGGGTTGTGTCTGTTCTTGTACCTCCTGTATCTGTTTTCCCTCGCATCGAGACACCTCCGTTGGCTCCTTCTCTCCATCTGGGTTAGGGTTTTGACTTGTTCCTGCTTGGGTCAACACTTGCAGCTTCACGCCGGTTGGAGTTACAGGTGTGTCTCCGCCCAACGTCAATCCTAGTGGTGTAAGTCCTCCGAAAGGTGGCATTCCCATCATCTGCATCACGGGGTGTTTGGTGGTGGAGAGCGGCGGTGGCCTCTTGTCCATCCACGTGCCTCTAAATTCCTCGCTCAAGTTCCTCTGCAATCCTTCCTTTTTGGCCATCGGCAAACAGATCGGAGTTGGGTGTGAAGCTCTTACTTCCTTCAAGAACTCCCCACAGACGGCGCCACTATGATGGGTCTACTTCCAGATCTGGAGTAAACCGGTTGTTATGAGCTCAGATCTGCTTGAACCGCTTCTCAACCGTCTCTAGACCACGAGATTCCTGCAAAAACTCAACGCCGGAGGTGTTTCCGGCGTAGAGCCTCCGACGCTCAAGTCAGTATTAGAAAGATGAGGAGAAGTTGCGCAGCAGCTATGGGGAAGAGTGGGAATGAATGAGAGTTAGGGTTTTGGGGTTACCTCATCTCCTTTATATAGGAGGGAATACTCACTTGAAGTGCCCAAAATGCCCCAGTCGGTGGACCTAGAAGGTCCAAAATGCCCTGGTCGATTCGTCTCCCCTTGTTGCTGAGTCATCACAAGATTCCTTCTTATCCCTTGTAATATGTGGAACTTCAAATATACTGCAAGTGTGATGAATCGTCACCATGTCCTCGGCCTCGAGGCGTAAGAAGTCGACCTCGAGCACTGGGAGGTCGACTCCTGATCACATGAGTATCCGGAGGCTACGCCTTATCGTTCTTTTGAGTGGAAATCGTCTTCAGAGAATCGTCTTAGAGAAGTCGACTTCTGAGAGTCGACTTAGAGTATCTGGATGCTCGGGAGTTGTGCTTTTGCGGTTCTCCTGCTATTGATATCGACAAGAGAAAGTCGATTTTCGAGAGTCGACTAGGCCGATTCCTGCCTCTTCTTGATTGCTCTTTATAGAATCGACTTTAGGGAAGTCGATTTGATCAAGTAGACGTGGTCACGTCGACACGTGAGTCGTTCAAGTGGTTCGTCAGTCGAGTAGGAAGCTTCTGAACCGGGTTATCCTTATATGGCTATATCAACACCCTTGATTGCTCTTCATTTATTGAGTGGTCGATCAAATGAGTTCTCCTCTGGTAGGTCGATCTTCAACCAGGTCTGCTCCGATGCTCGACCACTTCCTTTAAGTTCGCTATTGCTCGACTAAGGTAGCCTTTCCAATATTGGGCTTGTACGATCGGCCCGGGGAACCGGTATATTCTTTAGGTGTATAATATCCCATATCACCGTCAGTGTCCGACCGCATGAACCACGACATAGAATTCCACATCATAAGTGCTATAACGGACAAGGGGTCCAATAACTTCTCGCTAAAGAATGAGACTGGCCGACCATCCTGACTAAGAACAGTGCCAATCCCCACCTTGGAGGCGTCACAGAACAGCTCGAACGACTTTGAAAAATTGGGTAGGATGAGCATAGGAGCAGAAGTCAACTTGCCCTTAATCACAGCAAAAGTTGCCTCAGCCTCTGGAGTCCACTCAAGAGACTTGCCTGTAATGCAATCGGTTATCGGAGCCGTAATAGTACTAAAGTGTGAAATAAATCGGCGGTAGAAGGAGGCAAGACCGTGAAAACTACGAGCCTTTGTAAAAGTAGTAGGAGTCGGCCAATCACGAATGGCGGCCACCTTGCCATTGTCAACCTGAATGCCCTCAGCAGAAATCACAAACCCCAAAAACAAAACAGAAGGAACTATGAAACAACACTTACGAGGAGCAGCAAAGAAAGCTTTAGCCCGCAGAACCATCAAGACCTATCCCACATGCTCGAGATGCTCCTCCGCTGATCGACTGTAGATAAGAATTTCGTCGAAATAAACGACGAAACATCTGCCAATAAACTCTCGAAGTGATTGGTTCATCACCCTCATGAATGTGCATGGGGTGTTCGACAAACCGAACGGCAATCATTCAAACAACCCTTCATGAATTTTGAAAGCTGTGTTCCACTCGTCACCAGGGCGAATCCGAATCTGATGATATCCACTACGCAGATCCAACTTGGTGAAAATGGACGCTCCGTGAAGCTGATCAAGTAAATCATCTAATCTCAGAATCGGAAAGCGATACCGGACTGTGATCTTATTAATCGCCCGACTATCGACACACATGCGCCATGTGTTATCCTTCTTCGTGATGAGAATGGCCAGAATCGCACAAGGACTCATGCTCTTACGAACCATACCCCGCTGGAGCAGCTCCTCGAC